AAAAGTTTAATTTCTACCTTTGTCAGCTGCTAAGATGACAAATGTGTACGTCTAAAACGACGCTGTTAGTAATGCTGGCTGGTCATGCTGGTTGATTTAGTTTCTCTTTCCAGCTATGACCTTCCTGTGCCTACATGAAAGAGCAAAACTAGGCTCTTGCATGTGCAGGGTGTGTATTTTGGACTACTCACTCGGAAAGCAAGCTAGATAATTAGATTTACTAATGAAACTAAAGACAACATACCTTTTCTAATAAGTTTATGTCATTGAAAGGTGTGCCAGATTCTGCACCTTCAGCAGCAAACCCTGCCTGCAAACACATTGGCAGTAAGTTTTTAAGAGTAAGTTGTACCAAGAAAATAATAAATATGATCACTGAAACTTGTTTAAAGAAAGTTAACTCAGCACAAACTTTAATTATATTTCTTTTAAATTAGGTAGAAAGAATAGTCAAGCTCTTTCCTGGTGTTCAGCGTCAGTATGAAGTTGTGATCCTGTTTGTGAACTGGAAAAATTCAATATAAGCAACCACAGAGTAAAATGAGGGAACACTGCTGCTCTATTTTTCCTGCCAAAAAGGTACCTCCAAGTGTTGTAGGTAGTGTTAAACTTGAGTTTCTAAGTTTATGTAGCAGCATCCAACTACTAATAACTTTAATTTGTGTTCAGAAACCATACAGGCATTATGTATAAAACAGCTTCGGAATAAACTTACACTGCAGGAAAACAATAGAAACAAAATGTGGAAGAGAGTTAATAGTTTTGACTCAAATATCGTCAGAATCCAAGACACCCTAGAGAAAGAGCAGCCTGAATTGGATTTAGATGCAGGAGTGAGTGACTTGCAAGCTCTGCGTGAAAGGAGGATCAGCTGGCTGAATGAAGAGATTAGCACACCCAAACAATCATTTCAGAGGGAGGAGTTCTGCACTGCTGGTACTGTTGCTGTTTTTCATTTAAGGAGTTGAAGGAAAGGACAGCACCAGAACAAGGTGCTCTACAGGAACAGCTCTCTCATTTTAGGGTTCACAGTTAGCACGCTGTAAATTATTTTTTATTAGTTTTAAAAGTAAATTTAAAAATCTCAGCCACCTCTGTAGCATAAAGGAAGGTTTCTTACACTGACATTTCTAACGACAGAATTTTATTAAGAAGTGGCTAAAGGGCAAAGGTAGCTTCTTCCTGGTTTTCTGCAATTTTCTGCATTTTTATGAAGAAATCCCCACTAGTGTCAGTCATCCACTTAACTCTGTAGGAATGTTTGAAGTAAGCCACATGATTTTAAAATATTTTGGGATTTGAATGGAAGGTTAAGCACTTGGGAGTGAAATAAACCACAGAGGGTAGCAGATGTAACAACAGGAGAGCTATCTTATCTGCAAGGCACAGTGTGAATATGACGTTTATATAATTGTCAGAAGCCCATCTCAAGGGAACTGCTATAGGTGAGAGGAAGATCAGCATCACGGGACAGAAATGCAGAGCTGCAGTACAGAACACACACTAGAAGAATAAAAGAAGCCCTGCTTTTGCCACCTGGAGATACTCACCAGCCCTCCAAAGAACAAGAAGCCATGTGACTGGAATTACAATCTTCTCTAGCAGACACTCAGCGGGACTTGCGTTCTTACAGCCTTAGCGTCAGAGCAGAGACTGGTTTAATCTCTGCAGAAGGCAGCTGGGACATGCAGTGACGTGTCTGCCCTCTGCTGACTGACCATCAGCCAAACCAAAAGCACACACCAAAGCAGCAAAAATGCCTATCGACTTTACAACACAGTGAACTGTCACACTTTTATCAACGAAACTATGGGTTACGGCACCAAGCAAGGAAATTTAAGATGGTTTAAGAGAGATTTTATAAAGCAACTTCCATTTTTTAGTTGAAGCATTCACTGGAGGGACAAGGACAGGAAAGGAGATGAACTATCCTCAAGTAAAACCAAAAAAATTATCATATTTGCAGCAGATGTATCTACATAAGCACATTAAACAAGAAAGATAAGTAACTGTGGGAAACAGATTGTCCTTGCCCATTATTAGAACACACAAGTACCTAGTTTGAATTTGTTGCTGCTACCAGGTAGGAAAAGAGGGTTTATATCAAAGAATCAAAGGATACTTTTTCCTTTTTCAGAAAACTACTATAATTTAAATAAGACAGGCAAGTATTAAGCCACTCTAAATTGACTTCAGGTACGGTTGTATTATGTCTATCAAAATACAAAGAAAATACAGTAATGCTATGGCCAGTTCTGTTTGGTGCTAATCAAAAGCCAGATCTAAGGTTGTGGGGAAGCCAGGCTAGCTTGGATCATGTCAAATATAAAGCAGTTCATAGAATTGTTTGGAACTGCAGAAGTCTATATATTTACTCATTTAGGCATCAGAAAATTCACTGAAATATCTGCTCAGGGATTCAAGTGTACTCTCCAATAGAGTACACAGACCAAACTTTTGAGAATATTAAATTAAAAGCTTTCTTACAGCTATGAAGTCTTTGTTCTGCAGATAAAAATAAAATTGACAGCTAGGATGCAAAGCTATAAATATCTCCTACATTTTGTAGTCTTCTCATAGGTTTCTCTTGAAGTGCAAGTTCCTAGGTCTGGCTGCAAAGCTTTCAAACAGGAATAAACTAATAACCATTCTGTTCCTCAAAAAGATAGGCTTCATTTAAATAAACAAACAAACAAACAAGGACCTCCTGCAGCACACTGCAGCGGTGGTTTTATTTATACCAAATTCTTTGCAGGATCAGCTTTTTTGGTCTGTTTTGTAGCATAGTGTCACAGTCTGAGGGAAGGATAAGACAGGTTTGTATTTGTCAGTCTGTTTACACCTAATCCGACTGGAATAATAGGTTAAATATAGCAGGGAGTTAGCCTGCATACAGCATGACCATGCACAAGCAAATGAATCACTGCAGACTGGCTTGGCCATGAAGAAACCCTTTAACTCTGAGCCCTGAGGTGTGCTTTGCAACAGTCTTTAACTGCTGTTGATCTTCAGTCTTTGCCTGATCAAGTTGCAAATGGGAAAATGCCAACATTCATTTCTGATGGCTTTGGGGATGTCAAATCTCAAAGACAATTGGATTTTTTTTTTTAGAGGCCATGTACTGAAGACTGTTCATCACCTGAACTTCATCTGCTTTCTGTAACATACCAAGAAGCAAAGCAGTGCTCTGCTGAATGTGCCTCTCTCTAATTATGCGCTCTCACAATTCCCCTTTGGGAAAGACTCTCTTGCAATAACCTGAGCAATGAAGACCTTTCAGATGAATTCAAATGAGCAGTGCTGAGTCACCTGTAAGGCCATCTGAATACAGCTCCAAGGTGTGTTTAATTTTAGGTGTTTACTGGCACAAAGAATACTAGAGTTGTTAATGTTAGCTGCTTGGGAGTTGGCAGTTCTTGGTTTGGGGTTTTTTTTGTTTTGGTTTTTTTTGAGTCAAATGAAGTAAAAGAAGGAACTGTGGAGAAGATGGAAAACTGGTGAGATCGAGGGCATTCCAGGAAGAGCAGTACCATTTCAAATAGTGTCTATTTTGTTACTCTAGAGGCTATAAGAAGTGCTCTTAAAAACCAGGAAACAAATAAGGAATAAGAACTCACCTGTGGTTGAAAGTCAACTGGTTCCAGACCTCGGCATT